AAAAAAACTTATTCAAAAAAAGTTGTTATATAAAATAATCTTACACTTAAATACAAAAGAAAATTTTAGTTTTATCAACAAAAATGTGGTTTGTGAGATAAAAGTCAAGGGATAAAAAAAAGAACTTTGATGGTGGAGTTGGAGAAATATACTAAGTGAAAGATTATAGTAACTAAGAAAAACATTAATTAAGAGAGAGTTAGGAGTATACGAGGTATTCAACTTTAATAGATTGTTACAAAAAATGTTTTTTCAGGTTGAAGTGCCTTGGGATATAAAAATAAGGGCAAGAAAATAAATAAAGTAGAAATGTGATTTTTGAGAAAACAAAATAAGAAAGGGAAAGGAAGAAAAAGTAAATGATGAAAGAGACAAGAAAGAGAGACCAAATAAGAGAGATATAGGAAGAAAGAGTGAGTAAATATATTGTTGCTATTTCTTATAAGGAAGAATTAATATTAGCATTTTAAATTTTAATATTGATGTCATTTTAGTAATTACACTTTGTTGGTGAATAAATATTTAATTAGTTGAATTATGACCTTTTTTCCCCTTCTTTTGTAGGGTAAGATAAGGCTAAAAATATTTGTCTTAATTTTGAAAGAGTGAAGTAAACCATTACTTTTTCTTTCTATGATACTTATTTCTTACCCATAAATTTCAAATTACATTTTTGTATTTTGAAAATTTAATTTGATTGTTCATTTGAACTTAATATATTTTTGTTATGTTATGTTGTTTTTTTATTTCTTTTTGTTTCTTGGTTTGAACTTTATAATATTATTTTGTGGTGTTAGTTACAATTTTTTTTTATTGGTGAGAAATCTATTATATCACTCCTTATTATTTTGTTAATTAAAATTTAAAGAAATTTAGAGGTAAAGTTTCTACAAAGCATTTAGGGGAATATGTGGAGAGATAGATGAAAAGGAGAGTCATTTTTATTTGATTGGGTGCAGCACATGTGGAAAGATGGTTCCCACTAGTTAACATATGTGGAAAAAATTTGTTAAACAAATGCATTAATTGCTAACCGTTTAGGAATTAACGGTCAGCAGGACAGTAACATGAACGGCATCCAAATAAGGACGACAATGAACCGAAAATGAGGAGCAGAGGGACGACATTCGGCTCTTTGGTGGAGTAGAGGGATGACAATGAACAAATCCTTAGTACAGGGACAAGAAAGAATAAAATTTCAAAGTACAGGGACCACAATTGGCTTTAAACCATTTATTAATTTAATGTATAAACGTGAAACATGTGAATAAAAGAAACAAAAAGATGATTTGTTTGGTTTGGGTAGTTATCGTGGTGGCGACAATATGAGTAGGTTTTTTTGAATTTGTTCACATGCATTGATTAGGTAGTAATGTTTAGGACATGACATGATGTTGCGTTGGAACCGCCCACATTTCTTTAAAAATCAGTCGTTCCATAAACTTCGGAGCATATTTATTGGATCGTGTTTGAGTAAAATGGGACCATCAGATGTTGTCGAGACAAAAATAAAATAAAATAAGGGTGAAGGGGGGAGGGGGGCATGGGGGAAAGATAGGATCAAAGATTGGGGCTCATCAAGAATTATGAGGTCTTTGCTCTAAAGCATTGCTTCTAATGTCCCAATAATTTGAGTAGACAGCTAGCTCCAAGGCAGATAATCTTTTTTCTTTCTTTCTTTCTTTCTTTTCATGGAGCATAATATACACAAAACATCAATGATGTGCTTTTTCTTAGATAATACACCGTCTGTTTCAGCATAAATAATAGATTTTTTCATTTAAAATTTATTTTCATAATAATAGCTTTTTTTAATATATTTTAAAAGAAATATATTTTTTATTTTATAATTATTTTTTACTTTTTATTATTAATTTTATTATAA